ACATTCTGTTCAACTAACTCATACTATTACAAACTAATATCACTATAACATCTAATTACTTAAAGTTGTGAACAGGCTTGTTCATTTGCATAGTATGAGAACTTGGCTCTCTTCTTCTGAGTGGTTTGTTCCATTTGACCTGTCTGCTTCCAGTTCTAGGAGGCCAGACCTTTTGTCTATACTTGCAGCTTGAGCTTGTTCTGAACTAACATCTGCACTCTGATCATATGAAAAGCTTATATTGGGCTCTGGCTCCAGTATCTTTCCAGAACCTTCCATGAGCAGTGTCATGGAATTTTTCAGTTGTTCTGTTTGAATTTCTAGCAGGCTTTTATTATTATTTTTATAAGAGATTTCTTCTCTTTGTTGGTATATTTCTTCTACCATGCTATGTCAGTTCCCAGTTCTATTACTAGTTGTATTGAATATAGATACTTTGACTTTGGGGATCTCTGTAACTGTTGTGTTTCTAGTTTGATTTTTCTTGTCTCTGTCATTAAGTTTGTCCTTAGTTCTTAGTCTTGTATCATATACCTTTCTTATTTTATCACTAGATTTTTCTATTTCTATATCTGCTCGCTTTTGCTTTTTCAAAACAAGGGCCTTTGCTCTTGTTGGGGTAGTTTTATTATTGATAAGCTTGATTTCTTGTAGTATATTGTTTCCTTTTCTGACACCTGGCCTCTGAAAGCAAAAAGAGTATCGATCTTTTTTAATAAATTTTTCATACAATTTTTAGTTTCTGCATAATTAGCAGAATTAAATTAATATTATTACTCTAATTAAGATTAAATAAATATTTCTATGCATTAGCAAAAATTATTCACATTTAATAATTGGTTAAAGAAATTTTTGATCGAATTATACATAATTCATTAATTAAAATTAAATTAATATTTATATGCAAATTAATATTAACAATTTTTTTCTGCATTGGCAATAACTATTTATATAAATTTAGCATTTATTATTAGATTAAAATAGAATTTAGTACTTTTAAGTATGTATGATTTATTGATTAAATTAATATTTATTTGTAAATTAATATTTATTTGTAAATAAATATTTATTTATAAATTAATATTTATTTGTAAATTAATATTTATTTATAAATTAATATTTATTTGTAAATTAATATTTATTTGTAAATTAATAGTTTATTTAAATTTCTCATATTAATCTACAAATTTAAAAGATTTTCTAAATAAATTTATCATTTTAGCACTTTTATTTTATGCACACTAATTAAATAATTAATATTAAATAAATAAATATTTAATTTAAATTTCTTTATACTAGCTAGCTTTAATAATATAAATATAGTCTAGTGATTTTAGTGTAGTAGTTAGATTGTTGGATCACCATATAAGAGGTTTGGAATTCAAATCCCACTGTCAACAAGTTTGAATAATTACTCAGACCTTTGTATCCAACTTATAGTAAACTCTGTCTATTTCTGGGAGTTGTAACCCTGTAAATCATATTGCACTAATGTCAATCAGATATTAGAAGTCTGATGCAATACTTGAGTTACATTGCATGAATAAATCTTGATAGAATCTACAAGCAGGGGATCTGCATAGTAGAAATCTCGAGTTTAGTAAAGTAGTACAGATTTCAACGGTCAAGCCAGTT